AGCTCTTGAAAATAAAGCACGGGTGATTCGTATAAATTGGTAATTGCAAAAGGTATATTCGTGATAAATTAATATAACTATTTATATTCACTGTATGAGAGTTTATTTTAAATGTTTAAACGGCAAGTCTTTGTATTCAATTCTATTGATTTATCACGTATACAAGCACAATTGTTGAAATACAGTAACACTATTTCACAATCAGTTATCTCAAAACAACTTTTATCTAAAAAATAATAAAATTGCAAAATTATACTTGAATGAACTCCATAAAACCTATATTGCTCTGATGATGGCAATGAATAATTAACCTGCTCCACACAGGACAGACACGAGCTTAGGATTTATGGCGGGGACGTCGGTTATTTAGAGGACAATAAAGTGGACGTAGTGATCGTCGCTTATCGTTTATTCAGTCTGCGGCTAAGAAAATATCGGCAATTGGATTCCGGCGATGTTTTCTTACCGCGGTCACGTCGGGAACTCATCTGGACAACATTATTCGTCCATTATCCTCCCCAGCGGCTCTCTCTCTTGTTCCGCTCTATTAATTTGGTCTGACCATCGTCCACTTTCCCAGAATACATTAGGACAGTTTGGAGATAGGTGTCATATGCTCTGTGGCTGCTTCTAGGAGTTTATGTATATGCAATACATATAATTATTTATATTTAGGAATAGATAGCAATTGAGGTAACTATATTATTCTACCTTTTATATGCTACTATGGTTATCCTGTAATTAAATAGAAATATTAAAATAAAAACATAAAGCCTCCAGGGAAAAGATTCTTGTAAAAATATTTTTATTTAGAAATATCTCGAGCTTTCGGGCAAGTAAGCCCTTTTTTATATTTTTATATTTTATTCAAAATTTTATATATTATATATTTTAATACTGATTCAAGGGATTATTTTATCGGAATAGAAATATGAAACTATTGTTTACTTTTAGAAGATAGAGAGAGAACGCCTCTCAATTCTCTATAATTTCCAGAGTGTTTTAATAAAGTAAAACCTAGATAGAGCAGATCACACTAAAAGTGAAAATTGGGCTTCTATAACAATTATTACGCACACACACTCTCTATCTAGCCATGCGTGATGTGTATTATATTATAAAATAAATAGGAGGTTTTATTTAATATCAGGAGATATATAAGATGAAGTTCGTTATATTCTCGGTACATTCTAGCGAATCAAATTTCGAAAAGGCATAAAGGAATCAGTTTTTTTAAAATATTAATTATCTTGCCGCCTATATTCAAACCAGTGAGTTTCAATGAGGCGTCGATTTTTTAGTATTTTTAAGTCAAATGGTTTTATATGTGATGAAATATGATTCGCTCACATTAAAGGAAGAGGAAATCCTTCCGTCATTACAATTCTGTAAAGAGATAATATATATATATAGCATATATTATCTCTCTAATTATATATATATATATTGTTGCACCAAGTTTCAGCTTTGCAGGGTCGTCCACCTTGGTTTCTTCCTTCTTGGTGTTATACACGTTTCCCGAGCGGATTTCCATATTCAAAGTAAATAAATAAAAGTAAATAAAAATAAATTACCTTTCAAAGTTATTGTGTTTATTTATTCCTTGTCTTCCTCGTAGGTCGTGATCCGCAGTCTCCCTCTAGGTCCTCTCTCGCTTCAATAACCAATCAAGATATATATACAATAAATATTACAAAAGGAATTAATCTATAAAAAGGAATGATGATAATCTAAATATCAGTTTTAAATGAATATTAAATTACATAGAATATTTAGAATAAATGTAAGGCGTATTAAAATTGATGTAACACTTCCCCCTCTCCAGAGGTTGTCACGTCCTCGTGAATGACCTCATCCATTCTCTCATAATGAGGCTTGATTCTTGAAACATGAACTATCAGAGGGTCTTGGCCCGGATTATCTTTCGATTATATTAGACTAGCCGAATGACCCGGGCAACGCCCGGGTTTTACCCGATTAAATGTATTGTTCAAATACTATTCGTTACAATTATAAATTGTAGCCGTAGAAACGTCCCGCTCCAAACTTTACATGTACATTAGGTCAGCTGGTATTACCCCCCATTTTCACCGCTAGAGGCGCGAGCGAAAGAGCAAATTTGCAAATAACACGACGGATATTCGGGTTAGAGACCTGAAATTTTCACTAAGAGTTTTTCCAGATTCTACTTTATATACTGTTAAAATTTCAGTCAGATTATTTACGTATTGTGGACGTGTATAGTTTACAAACATACATACGTACATACGCTGATTTTATATATATATATAGGGATAATAATATAAATGAGTTTTAAAAATTGTAAAAAAAAAATGCATCGGCCGGGAATCGAACCCGGGGCGCCCGCGTGGCAGGCGAGCATTCTACCACTGAACCAAAAGAAAACGGTGACAGAATTAAGAACGCATGACGATGATAACTGTATATTATCCGTGACAGAGGCCACGACAGACGATCGTGACTATATATATTAATGGCCCTATTTGGGTATTAATTCCATTCACAAAAGCAAACGATGACAGAATTGTTGATGACTCTGATACTTGTATTTATAACTAGCCGAATGACCCGGGCAACGCCCGGGGTTTACCCTATTAAATGCTTTTATTCAAATACTATTCGTTACAGTTATAAATTGGCGCCGTGGATGTCATTCTTGTATAATATATAAATGAGTTTTAAAAATTGTAAAATAAAATAAATGCATCGGCCGGGAATCGAACCCGGGCCGCCCGCGTGGCAAGCGAGCATTCTACCACTGAACCACCGATGGTTATGAGAAATGGCTAATTTGGATAATTATTCCATTCACAAAAGCAAACGGTGACAGAATTGATTAAGAAAGGGCCTTGCCCGGGTTTTACCCGATTAAATGATTTTATTCAAATACTATTCGTTACAATTATAAATTGGCGCCGTGGATGTCATTCTTGTGAAACGTCCCGCTCCAAACCTTGTGTCTGAGAAGCGATATTTTTTATAAAGATATGATCTGGCTTTGTGTTTTCTGCTCGAATGAATGTTTTTCTGTTAGAATTTTGTTCCTGCATACTAAAAATGAACTGGCTTCACACGTGGTCTCTGCTTTTTGGAATTTTTCCGGATATAATTTTGTATCTGATAATCAAATATGATACAGCAATATTGTCATCATCATTTTCTGAATAAAAAACTACTACTTTTTTCCCAGAACCTGTCAAATTATTTTTCTTGACTAAAAATCCGAAAAATATATTTTCCAGATTTTTCTCTATGTCCTGTTAAAACACGTTCTACATGTCCATTAGGTCAGCTGATATTACCTCCCATCTTCACTGCTAGAGGCGCTGCTTGCGAGCGAAAGGGCAAATTTGCCAAGCAATTTGCAAATAACTTATATACATACTTGTATACTTGTGTACATAGACCATAAACCTGTACATAGACAGGAAAAGCACATATATTTTAATAATATAAATGAGTTTTAAAATTTGTAAAAAAAAAAACAATGTTTGCCTGTAAAGTCGGTTTTACGGGCGAAGATTTTACGTGACAACGGTAGAATATTTATTGATATGAATATAATTAAATTGCACAATAGGAACAAGGAATTGAATGAAAATAAGAATTGCACAAATTTTAACTATAGAAATATATTTTGTTTACTAAAACATTGTACATGTAAACTTAAACTTAACTAATTCCTATTTGAGTGTTTAAGGAAGTGTTTCTGCTGTAATGTGTCTTGCGAAAGTCAAGTCGATAGTTGTTCCTTTTAACGTAGTTGACTTAGAAACGTTTGATACGCAATCAAGATTATACGTATTTTTCATGAAATTAAGAAACGAGTTGCCAGGCTTTACGTTTTTGTTAAAATCACCACACAGAAGAATCGGTATACTAGAATCAACTTGCACGAACGGTGGCACGTACTGGCTGTTGTGAATGTACGGACCGAGTCCTTGCCATAGTAACATTCCAATATCCTGCATACTAGCTCCTGGATGAATATATACAGCACCGAGTATAAACTTGAAGCTAGTATTAGCGGCGAAGCAAGTAACTTCAGTCATGCACATGTCACCCTTGGTTTTAATGACACGAGTTACGTCTGTAATCGCAACTTGGAACACTTCCGCCGTAGATGTCGATGACAATTTACGATAGATCGCCACTCCACCAGCCGCGTTGGTATTTGAAAATCAAAACACTTATTCAGATCGAAGGTTCAAATTTTTGCTAAATAAATTTGAAATTAAATAAAATTTGTAATTGTAAATGATGAAGTTGAAAATTAAAACATTTACTTAAATTAGATGTTAAAATTCTTGCTCAACACAGTTTAAATAAAGTTTTCTTATATCTGCCACTTTTTCTTAATATTTGTAATTTTAAAGAATCAATTCGAAAATCAAAACATTTATTCAGATCGAAGGTTCAAATTTTTGCTAAATAAATTTGAAACTATTTAAAATTTGTAAAATAATAATTAATTAATTAATTATTTTTAAACTAATAATTTACACCACACGTGTGAACTTGTATTATGACGCTTTCTTGTTTTTCCAACGCCAAGAACGTTCGAGAAAGACAAAGACAGAGACAAGCATGCGCCGATTCAATGCGCCTAATTCTCTAGCGCTGCGCGCGCAGCACTCTCGTTCGGTGACTCATCGTAACGTTACCTGGCGTTACACTTTTTCATAAGTGACTCCCAGCCGCAACCTAATTTAAGACGTTGTCACGTCAAAAAAAATGCATCGGCCGGGAATCGAACCCGGGGCGCCCGCGTGGCAGGCGAGCATTCTACCACTGAACCAAAAGCAAACGGTGACAGAATTAAGAAAGAATGCATGACGCTGATAACTGTATATATTAATTATGTTAGCATAATGAATTAGTCAGTATTCCCATGGTCTCCAGCGAAGAGGTGTGAATTGATTTTTAAAAATATACATAATTATAAAGATAGAAGCTTCTATAGAAATAACTAAAAAAAAGCCGAAATAGCTAAGTTGGGAGAGCGTTAGACTGAAGATCTAAAGGTGGTTCGATCCCGGGTTTCGGCATCTTTTTTTAATTTTTGAATTTTTACTTACCGTAACTTGACACGTGACTTATCGTGACAGAATTGTGCATGACTCTGATAACTGTATATATTAATAATTGACGCTAGACATCTTCTTTAATATTCTATGTGGACCAAAATATTTTCTCAGAAGTTTATCACACTTTCCTATTTTCCTAATTGGTGTCCAAACTGCTAATAATTCTCCTAGTTCGTAGGTTCTTTCCATGTGTTTCTTGACATAGTTATTTTTTGTTCTATCTTGAGTCTTTATTGTGTTGTTAATAACTGATTTTCTTGTTCTGTCTATTTTGTCTAAGTGATGTCTTATGTATTCATCATAATCATCCTTGTCAATGTCCACCGAGATATTCCTGTCGTCCAAAATAGACGTGGGTTCTCTTCCAAACATCAGGAAAAAGGGAGAATATCCTGTGGTTTCCTGAATTGTAGTATTGTAAGCGTGAGTGATGAATGGGAGTATTTCGTTCCAATTCTTCTGATCAGTATTCACATACATACTAAGCATATTGATCAATGTTATATTTAACAGCTCTGTCAATCCATTAGTCTGGGGATGATAGCTCGTTGTGTGTGTGTGTGAAGCAATGTTTAATCTTGCACATTTTCATCACCTCTTTCATTAAATTACTGGTAAATTGAGAGCCTCTGTCACTAATAAGATATTGTGGGGCTCCGTGCCGGAGAAAAATATCCTCTAATAAAAATTTATTTAGAAACTTCTTTCACTGTTGCTTCCGAGACTGCTCTTGTTTCTGCATATATAGTGTAGTAGTCCGTCAGCACGATTATCCATTTTTTTCTGTTTTTCTTAGATGGCAATGGGCCAACAAAGTCAATTCCAATTATTTCAAAAGGAAAGATGGCTGGGAGAAGGGGCTGTAGTAGTCCAGAAGGTAATTGGTTTGAGCCTTTCCTACTTTGGCAAAGGTGACACGTCTTAACGAATTCTGAGACATCCTTTAGCATGGATGACCAAAAATATTTACTCTTTATTCGGTACATGGTTCTGGCGACACCCAGATGGCCATTCGACATATGATTGTGATATTCTTTCAAAATTTCTCTCTTTTTCTTCTCTGGAACCACAAGCAACCACGCCCTGCCTTCAGGGTTCGGGTTTTTCTTAAAAGAGGCAGCCATCTCCTTCTTTAAAGTTTTACGCAATTGATCGCCTGCTTCCTTTAAGGTTTTTCTTAACACTTTCGATAAACTTATCCTCTTCGTCTGTTATTTGATTTAAAAATAGCCTTTCAAAATTCTCATCTCAATCAGTTTATGGTAAGGGTCCCCTAGATAAGCCATCGGCGTTCAGAGGCTTCTTTCCTGATTTATGTATTATATCGAAGTCATATTCGTGAATTTTCAATGCTCATCTTGCCATTCGACCTGTTGGATCCTTCAGGTTTTTGAGCCAGCATAAGGCGTGATGGTCTGTTACAATTTTGAAGTGTCTTCCATAAAGGTAGGGCCGTAATTTTGACATTGACCAGACAACGGCCAGATATTATTTTTCAGTGGTTGAATAATTTTGTTCCGCTTTACTTAGGGTACGATTCAAATATGAGATCACCTTCTCTCCACCAGCGATGTCTTGGACAAGTGTTGCCCCTATGCCGATGTTGGACGCATCAGTATGAATATAAGTAGGCGCATTTGGATTGAAGTGACCTAAATTTGGTGGACTTAATACCATGTTTGCTCGTTATATATAGCCGAGAATCTCCAATTCTTCAAAAGCGAATCGGCAATTTTTGTCGTTTAACATTAAATTAGATTTGCGAAAACATCTAAAAACAGCTTCGAGTCTTTTGAGGTGCGTTGGAAAATTCGGGCTATATATGATAACATCATCCAGATAACACAAACAAATTTGCCATCTTTGATTTCCAAGCATATTATCCATATTTCTCTCAAAGGTAGCAGGCGCGTTACAAAGTTCAAAAGGCATCACGTTGAATCCATATAATCCACGCGCTGTAGTGAAAGCTGTTTTCTCTTTGTCTCTTTCTTCGACTTCAACTTGCCAATCACCAGATCTGAGGTCTATTGCTGAGAAGTATGTAGATCCTTGGAGAGTATCCATAATTTCGTCTATTCTAGGGATCGGATATACATCTTTTACTGTCACATTATTCAGTTTTCTGTAGTCCACACAAAATCTGTATTTACCATCTCGCTTCTTGACCAATATTACTGGAAAAAAACCAGGGACTAGAAGATGGCCTAATTATGCCTTCTGTAAGCATCTCGTCAATTTGCTCTTTTATAATATATCGTTCTTTAGCACTTACCCTGTGAGCCTTGTGTTTAATTGGCTTCGCATCTTCTATGTCAGTCCGATATTTTGTCAAATTTGTTCTCTCTAATCTTGACGAAAACAGATCTCTATACCTTTCTAAAACTTTTTTTAACTCCTTCTGTTCCTTTGATGAAAGATTTTCGTTTATTTGGAATCTAGGTTCTTCGTTCTCTTCTACCTCCCTTTTTCGATTCACATTTATTTTCGCTTTACTACTTACAAAGGCCAATGTTTGGTTATTAATTATTTTTAACGGTCGAGGATACGGATTAGTTATCCAGATATGTGTTTCCCTATTTATTACATTGGTCAAGCTTCTTGCTAGACGATGTCCATTTGTTTGAAACATTTTGCTGCTCTCCTCGATAATATATTCCCCATCCTCTGTTTTATCAATGCCTTGATCAATATAATGGAACATTCCGGTACAATGGAATCCTTGGCATTCTTTATTTTCAACATCTCAAAATTGCTTCCGTCATGATTATTCGTCAAATCGTATTTTATAGTTTCTTGCTTACAATCTATTTTCGCGTTCATTTTTTAAAGGAAATCTCTTCCAAGAATCAATATCCGTAAATGAGTTTTCAATTTCACAAATTTGTGTGATAATACTTTGTCGTCAATTTTTATATTTAAAAATATACTTCCTACTATGTCTAATTTTTTTCCATCGGGTCCTGCACAAGTTTTTGCAAGTTTACTTATACCATGGCCTGTATCGAGGGCCGTTCTGAGGTCGACCACTGAGAGGTCAGCGCCTGTTTCAACCAAAGCTTCAAAAGTCCCTATCTTGTCCACATTAATTTTTAATTTGTATTTAAAGTTCAACTTCTTGATTCCGTTTATGGTCGACTTGCTTTGATTGACAGATTCAGCGCGACGCTTAGTTTAAGTATTCCAACACGGAATATCTATCCCGGGCAGGAATATTTGTCTGTGTGTTATGACATACATTAGCATAAAGCCGAAGTCCTGATTTCTCTGATATTTCATTCATTTGGAATTTCTCTTCAACCTTCCCTTTGGTAACTATTGGATCCTCTTCTAGGATTCTTATAAAATTGACCCTACAATAACGGGCCACGTGCCCTGGCTTGTTACACTGAAGTAGATTGGTCTTCCATCTTCCGTCCTATTTTTTCTCGCTTCTTGGCTTTTATTGTAGGTGTTTTTCTGAAGGTTTGGTTTCGGCACAAAGTTTGGATTATAAGGTCCCCGATCACTCTCGGTGCTAACATCTAGCCCTGCCTCTGCTTCTTGTTGTCCGCGTGTGGGAAGAACATCAACACTCGACTCACGTTCACGACTGCCAGTTCATCCATACGTCGGCAGGATCACATTTGCAACAATATTACATATATATATATATATTTAAAATTAATAACGCTTATATAGGATCAAAATATTTTTTAAAATATCCAATATTTCGATGAGGCTGTTCTCCTATCTTCCTCGGGGATTCTAACCTTGTAAACAAATCATCCACGTGATGCACGAGTGGCGAGGTTTTGAATGAGGTAGTGTGGCCAAACCATTAAATGAAAATATGATTACTTTTTATTTATTTTTATATAATTAAAATACTACTGCATATATTCTATAATTAATGTTTGCTGTTTTATCTGTAGGTATGATTGGGGTATATCTATTTTTCTATTGATACTATTTATGTTCTCTATAGATGCCCAGCTCTCTAGGAATAATCTTTCATGTTTATCTTGTATGTTTCTGTATAATATTTTGGAATTTTCAAAATCTGGTATGTGTCCTTGTTTTAATGCATGGTCTACTAGGAGTGATAATGGGCTATTATTTTTGAAGGCTGCCTTGTGCTGATTGATTCTCTCTTTTAAGGTTTTTCCAGTTTCTCCAATGTAAGAAGATGTACATAATTTGCATGGAATGCAGTATATGAGGTTGGTTTGTGTATCCTGTCTTGGGTTGCGTTTAGTTGTAGGGTGACGGAGAATGTTTTTTAAGATTGGAGCGGATTGGTATCTTATATTTATATTATATATTTTGAGAGTTCTGCCTATTCTTTCTATTCCATAACTGTAGGGAAGTACACATGAAATGTTCTTGTCTATTGTTTTTTGAAGGGTTTATTTTACTATAAATATGTTTTTTGATAAATTGTTTGGGATATTCATTATATTGCAATTCCTTGGATAATAAATTTTGTTATTTTTAAATTATTTCCATATTTTGAGAACAGTGGGTGTGGATTCATTTTGATAATGTTTTGATTACCGATATTTTATGGTTTATGGGACCAAATGATTTGAAATTGTACAATGAACCTGTGTGGGCAGGTTTTCGTATTGTTGGTCCTCGCAGTTTTATAATTAAGAAAGATAAATTTCAATTTTCTTCTATTTCATTGGTGAATTTTAAATATATATTATGTATATATATATATATTAGGGATATGTTATAGGGGGGGGGATTAGTTTAGGTTTTCGTTATAAGGAATAGTTCGTTATATCAATATTTCCGATTAGGTTAAGCGGGTGTATTTGATCAGTGTGTTGAAAGGAATGCTATCCACGCCTGTTAATTCTAGTTCCAAAGAGCAATGTTAATTCATGTCTGGTTTTTTATAAGACGTGAAGAAATTTGTATATGGGAATCAGACATTATGGGGGCTGTTGCCACAGCCGGCTGGCCTGAGATAT